GTCCGCCCCCGCCGCGGGCCCCCGCTGCCCTGCCTCACTTGATTATTATTTTATCCTCCGTCCCTCAAAGGCTGCCTGCTGGTCGGGGCCGCGTTGACCGCCGCCGCCCCAAAGCCAAAGCAAATGCTTTGCTGCGTTCGGCCCCTCCCGTCCTCCCCTTCTCTTCGCGCGGGACAGAACAGCAAGGGCAGCAGCGGGTAAAAGTAAGACGGAAGGGCTTGGGGGTGGAGGGGGGACAGGGGCGGGCGAGTATCTTGAGCCCGTGGAATCTGATGAGCTCTCGACCGGAAATGCAGAGCTTGCACTCCGTGCCCCCACCGCCTCCGCCGCCCCCCTCATCCCAGGCGCCCTTCCTCTGCACTTGACTCCATGACTTACAGACCGCCGGCGCTAAGGCTTTGTGTCCTTGCCCCCCCCCCTCTCTCTCTCTCTCCCATCTCCCGTCTCTTGCGACTTTTTACAAGAGGGACAGAGACAAGAAAGAGAAAGTGGCTGGGAGCCGAAATTGCGTTGTTACAGCGGGGCTGTGTTGTCTACCCCACCCGACTTTTTCGTCGTGGGCACATCGCGCAGTCCCCTTAACGCGCTGCTGGGCCGCGGGCTTCCTCGCGACCCCTATAAGGAACGCATTGGGCTAGACTGCCCCGCCCCCCGTTTTCCTCCAGAGGCATTACTGTAACATATTCCAGTAGCCGGGGTCAGCCCGTGTCGAAAAGTTGGTGGAAGAGTCGCGCGCACAAGTTTAGCGACACGGTAGGGCCGGGCTTGGGGTGGGGGGAGGGAGGTCCAGGGGGGGCTGTCCCCTCTACTTGGACCCCCTTGTAATTAGTCGTGTAGCGCTTAAACTCCGGCCCGGCGGGACCTAGGACCGAAGCGGCCTGCTGGGCTGGGGGGGGGGGGGGGGGGCAGTCTCGCCTGAACCTCCGAGCGGAACAAGGTGTTGTTTCGTATTTTCTCGGGCGAACAGCTCGAGGGAAACGTCCGGCTGAGGGAGGAGCTGTACGTCGGGGTCGGGCTACGGCGCCGTCCGGGAGGAGGAAAGCGTGGGCAGCGTTGGATGCGGGGCGGATGGTGTCGGAGCTGGCAAAACGGGGCGGTGCGAGGGGGGTAGGGGATGGGGGCGGACAGGGGGAGCGTGGGGCTGATTTGTGTGCTCATGTCTGTTTGGAGGAGCCGGGCCAG